AAACCAAACCACTCCACTCACTGTTTCCCCAGGAAACTTCCATGTGTTTCCCATGACATCTGGGCGTAGTGCGCCTAGAGTGCCCGGCCATCTACCTCCGCCTGTAAAATTCTTATTTTTCGTGTGCTTCATTGGACGCTCTTTCATGAAACTAGTATGAATCCTGCTGTAGTTTATAGTGGTTTGTTGTTCATTTGTCTATCCATCCAACAAATATCTAATGAGCAATAAGCATATCTTCATGGTGCTTTTGGCTTGGATAGGAAGACAGACTGTAAAAGAGATCTTACAATAATCCGTGTTAAGTATATAGTAGAGGAAATGTAATACACACAGGAGCCATTTGAACTAGTTTTGTATGTGTGTGTTGGCATTTGGAGTTGGGTCCAGGAAGGCTTTCCTTTGCTTACATTTATTTTATCTTCTACAAGGTTGGATGTCCACTGATCATCCACAGCTCTCACCTGTGTAACGCTAGCTCATCTGAACCAAGGCCATTGCATCTGGACTCTTCCAGGGCTTCCTTACAAGTGGAAAAGCCACTGAGGGTATTTTACAGTTTAATAGATTTTCCCCTCTCTAGCACACTCTGCGATGCAGCGATTGTTCTGGAGTCAGTGGTTGGCATAATTTACGTGGAAATGTCTGATGGGTCTATTACAATATGTGCTGAGAGGCTCTGATGTGGGTAATCTACACTTAACTGAAGTTAATTCTTAAAATTAATTTAACTTAAGTGTAGATTAAGTTCTTAAAATCCATGAGGTGTCATGACTGCCATAGGGCTAGGAACACACCTAAACCCTTCGGTCATTATTTGTAGCCTTCAGCAATGAAGAGAAATGCAGCCACATTTTGGTCATTTGTTCCAAACTGCTTGGGCGGGTTATGCTGACTGAATCAGCCATGGAGCTGCCTCTGGGGAAGGTCAGATCTGTGGATCCATAGCAGCAGGAAATTGAGAGCCTTGGAAAGTCACCTCTGAAAACAAACTTGATAAAACTCATTCTGTTCAGTGAGGTAAACTTTCCCATAAATACAACAGGTTAATTTATGAAGACATTAATTTATTCTTATTCCCCCTCCCCCCTTATTATTCTAAGATGGTAGGCAGGCTTTCATGATCTCAGGGACCTCCTGAACATTCTAGATTGCATAAGACATCTAGGGGCTGGGGCAGAGAAGGAGGAAGTCCTGTAGTGTTGGAATTTGACTCTTTCCACCCCGAATTGGCAATTTGGAGTCATTCACACTTGATTTGATTTATAAAATATGGTGATGTGATAAGCCACATGCGATGGAGTAAAAGTGTACCCATTGTAACTGTGTATGTGAAAACGAAACAGTAGCTTGGAATGAATGGTCATACACCACTGGGAGTAGAGCTGTAAGAAGGCATCCCTTTTTTCATCTTTGCTTTTCCCTTTTTAAAACCCCCATGCTGGATTATTTTCAACATATACTACCATCTGGGTCCTAAGGGCCCCCATTAGGGCCATGAGAAGACCAAATAATGGAAAGAAGGAAAAGGTGATGATAAGAAAAAGAAGAAATAGGGAGGAGAGAAAGAGACAATTACCTAAAACAGCAGTGATCCCATGGGTAGGCAGAATAGATACACCAGTGTGGCATATGCGAGGTGTGTGTATCTCTCAAGGAGATAAGAGAAATTGTAATTGTTTTGTTTTCTATTTTACTGTAATAAACACAAGAAATTTGTGTGACATTCTTGGTAGACACATTCCACCTGCGTGTAAACTGAAATGGTTTTGTTCTCATTCTGTTCTCTTTATGTGTTGGTACAAAGCATTTTTTTGTTGTTGTTGCCAAGATTGATTTTTTTCTCTCTAACACAACCCTATTCACTAAACCACTGTGTCAAGCTTGGCTGATACAATTAGATTATCCATCCCCTCCAACCCCCTACCCTGAAATCTGGGATTAACTGAGAGACATGGTCTGCAGAGAGAGAGAGAGAGAGAGAGAGAGAGAGAGAGAGAGAGAGAGAGAGAGAGAGAGAGAAAGAGAGAGAGAGAGAGAGAGAGAGAGAGAGAGAGAGAGAGAGAGAGAGAGAGGCAGTGAGGTAGATACACACAGAGAAGCAGAAGTGCCGATTTGTGAGGGCTTTACACCTGGATTCTGCAAGCGACCCGACATCCTGCCCAAATCCCTTTATTGCTTAAGCAAATTGGCCTTGGATTTCTGCTAATTCCATCCAAAGTAACCTTCACTGAGATACTCCCTGATGAAGTCCAGATTCCTGGACACAGTAACAAAGATCTGCAGAATCTGGTGCCTGCTTACCCCTCCATCCCTTATCTGAACACACTTACCTCCTACTCTCTATTTCAGTCATGCTCAGCTCCTTTTTTAAAAAGCTCTTTCTACTCTTCAGGAGTTGCGCATGCTGTCTTCTCCCCTCTTGTAACACTCTTTTCTCTTTATTGTCCGGGCAATTTCTATTTGGCCTTCCCAGACACAGCTTCTTCTCTAGAGTCTCAGAGCGCCTTTAAAAGGCTGAGCACTTACATAAGACATCCTAATTGCCCGTTGACTTGTCTCTCTTCCTCCTCGATTTTGAGCTCTCTTAGGACAAAGACCGAGTCTCCATGGCTGTCCTCTAAACACAACACCTGATAAACGCTTGTCAAATGAGTGAACGAGGTGCTCCTTGTTGTCATCCGTCACTTACCCAGTGGCAGATTGACAACACCGAGTAGGAAAAAAATGAAAATTACTTTGGCCCCAAGCTATAGACTATAATTTGGAACTAACAACTCCTGAGTTGAAGAATCAGATATCACCATGGTTTGGGAATATCCCATTACCTTCATTGTATCTCCACCCCCCCCCCCCCCCCTTTATTTAATGATTGTGCCAGAGTTTCTAATTAGAGAAAAGGGCCTCATGCACTTATTGATTCAAATGTTCTGCATTTGAATCACAGAGGAGATTTTGAGAATAAGGGGAGAATTCAGCATATCAGAAATTCAATCCATCTGAAATCTCTCAGAGAGGTTTGCCCCTGGGTCATCTAGCACAGACTTTCTTAGTCACTGAAAGCCGTTGTCATGGTAATCATGGGACCTTTCCTGATTTTGTATACTAGTTAATGAAGATACTGGAAACAACCCAAAGGAATTGATACTTGGGTGTGCATTTGTCTCCATATTAACCCAATCATTGTTTTGAACGCACATCTGCCCCGGGGCCGATTCTCTTGGCTCTGGGTCCTGACAGGAATAAATAAACAACAGATTCCTTTTTAGTATTTCAGGCGAGGAGGCTGTGGATGGCTGCCCTTTTGGTCTCATTTCAACAGGAAATCCCACATGGAGGTTATAAAGGAGCAGAAAAAAAAAAGAATGGTGCATGAAGCAAATCCCTTTCTTTTATTTCAAATTATTAATGTTACTGATTTTAAGGCACCAAAATGCAATGCCCGTGAAGACGTTTCAGTTGGAGAGCCCAGAGCATTGATGATATCCCAAGCCTTTATTCTATGGTCCTTTCTACATATACCATAACTCGAGCCTCCACCAATCTTGCTCCAGGTTCTTTTTTGTTTTTTAAAATGTATTTTTATTGATTTTACACAGAGAGGAATTGAGACGGACAGAGAGTTAGAAACGTCGATGAGAAAGAAACATCGACCAGCTGCCTCTTGCACATCCCCCACTGGGGATGTGCCCACAACCAAGGTATATGCCCTTGACCGGAATCGAACCCAGGACCCTTCAGTCCGCAGGCCAACGCTCTATCCACTGAGCCAAACCGGTCCCGGCTTGCTCCAGGTTCTTCAGTGTGCTCACAGCGTCTGAGTGTGAGATTTCCCATTGAGAGGGCAGGGCGGGCGAGGATAAACTCCTGACTTCACTGTAGGGCAGGGCAGAGTTATTCTCCATTTTGTGTAACTGGACCCTAGCCCTCACCCAACCAGTCAGGGTCAGCCAAAGCAGTGACATCACCACCGGAGTAAAACCCGGGGCTTGGAGAAATTCGCTCTCTCTTTCGCCATGCTGCTGGCGTGAGTGGGAGAGAGTCCATGCTAACATGGAAAAGGCTCTTTTGTTTATTGCATCGGACTCGGCTCCCTGGTGGTCCTTGGGGATCACGAAGTCTAGGTGTAACACCATCTATGTCCTGTCCTACTTATCTCCCAGCATCCATTCTCCTAGCAGTGCGGATGCTTGACAGCAAGACGTTTCCCATCCTCCCTTAGTGATGGCCGAGGGTCTTTCAGTAGAAGTGGCATTTTGACTTTTTGGACTCATCTTTAAAGGGAGTGGATGTGTTCCCTTCTTCCTCCCTTCTCACCGGCTGAAATGTGAGTGATGGGTGGAGCTGGGCTAGACATTCTAGACAATAAGCGGGGAGCCACTCGGAGAAAAGCAGAGTAACAAGACAGAGGCGTCTGGGTCCTTGAAGATGGTGAGGTTTCTCTGAAAGCCCAGACTGACTTGTTTTTGTCTTATTGAAGCAGAAACTGTTATTTTGGATGTTCTGTTATCTGATCTTAACTAATATACCACCCCACAATGAAATTTATTTTTCCTCTTTCCATGGGTGGGGTGTGAAACCCATGGGCTCTTCTGAGAAACTTACCCTTGGATTCCAGGCCATGGGCAGGTTTGCTGGACCTTTGCATTAGCCAGACTGAATTTTCTGGTATGGTGATGAAGACATTATTTCAATGGCAGGAAAATACTTTCTCACAATAGCCATAGCGGTATTGTATTGCCTGATCTTTGTGTATTTTGGATTTTTCTAGTATAGAAAATGTATCTTTCATCCTAAACTTAGGATTCCTGTCTCTCATGCTTTTCGGAATGGGATAAGTGATAAATAAGAATCATTACTAATTAGTCTGAGTCCAGAGTAGATGAAGTAAAGACAAAGAAAAAAAACAACCTTCCAAATTATCTGAACAAAAAACACGTAACAACCCTCCTCATGGAGACACAAGCCTTATGTGAGTGAGGAATTGCAGCTTTACTTACTGAATTTAGGCCTTTTAATCTTCTTGGTCGTTTCTTTATTTGAATGTATTCCAGTCACCAGCAAAACTACATGAAGGAAACACAAAATAACTCATCAATCTTAGTTCACCTCAACACTTTCTCAATCTTGATCCTGATATTTGCTTAGGTCACATATTAAAATATTCTCATTAGTTAAACTAATTTCCCCTGATATTAAGGTGAGGAAATAAGACATATCTTTTGTATACGTGGCCTCCTGGAGGAAAGGTTTTTAGAAATACTTTTCAGATGCCTAGCCTTTGTTGTCTTTAAATTTCAGCACACCAGTCCTACCATCTCCGTTTTGCAAAGGAGGGAACGTGGTTTGCTTGGCCCTCGGAATGGGTGATAGAGGTAGATGAGCTCCAGACCCTTCTTGTGTTCCTTCCTCTCGTCACAATGAGTTTCCAAATGGTCAGAGAATGGCATGCTTGTGTGTGTGTACGCGTGCACGCGCCATAGATTTAGGGTGGTGAGTGGAGGGGATATGTAAAAAGCCCCAGAGAAGGGCTCTCCGGGAAAGGAAGACAAGGAAAAGGTGACAAGGAAAAGGAGTAGAGAGGGGCTGTAAGACCTGAGGTGTACTGTATGTATACATCATAATTTAGCCAATTTCCAATTTAACACGAGTAGCTCCATCTTTGTACTGATCTATTATCATTTCCTTAAAACAAACCTCCAAATAGGATTTCTTGCCTGAAAGCTATGCCCTCTTAAGATTTTTGATTTATATTGTGATTTTTTTTTTTATTGGCAAAATTCTCACTACCCTGTTCGTATACTCATTCTACCAGTAATGTTTTTCCTTTCAAAGGGTCAGTCTGTTTTCTGTTCTTCTTTTCTCTCCAGGCATTCTTTCACTCCAAGGTAGTGCTGCTTTAACTTCCCTCTCTTTCAGCCACTTTTCTGAGAAACCCGCTTTCTAGATAGAGTTGGGACTCTGAGGTGAACACTGAGGCAACAGACTAACCAAAACAGGCGTTGTCCTTTCTAGTTTTTATGTTTGTTTTTTCACAGAACACAGAGGCTTGATTTAGGCATAAATGGACTTAGAAATTCTTGAATTGGAAACTGTCTTTAAGGTAAAAAAGGAGGCAATGTCCCCAAGTTTGTTCTGGGGACTTTATTTATATTTATCTTATGATTCTCTAGCTACTCTGCCAATGATGCAGCCACTGAATTATCCCCAGTTTTGACAACCAGCATTAGCCAAGGTCGGGACAGATGACATACCATGTGCTGTACAAACAGAAACATGAAAGAGAATTCAGTGACAGCCCCAGGTCTAGCCAAGCAGAATGAAAGCAGACACTTGTAGGTGTTATTTACTTCTGGGGTTTGGGTGTGTGTGAGCGTCCTGCAGGTTTCATTTTTTATAGTAGCCTCTGTGTCATTTAACACTGCAGAGACCACATTTTCATTTTATAGACAAAAATAAATAACTAGAATCCTTGAAATTAAAAAAAGTACTAAATATACAGAAAACAAATGACACAAGGTAAGTTGATGGAATAAGTGACACAGTAATGAATGTGGGTATCCATTTGTGGAAAACCAAATCCTGTCCTGGGCTTGAGTGTCTATGGCAAGTGGTGTACGTGTAAGCTCTGGTATCATTAGGACTATAAATATTTCAGTAAGACCCCCTCACCCGCATTTGCTCACCCACGACCCTCCAGGCTGAAAACAGCCCTGCTTCATCAAGTCATTAATCACTTTCCGTGGGTGGGTCGCAGAGGCCATGCCCTCATGAGACTTGTTAATTAAAGCTCCCAGAGGTCACTTCTCCAGAGGAGGGCTGGGCAGGAAGGCTGTAAATGTGCTCGTGCCCGGGGGCAAGTCTTCATTCCTCAACAGTAAGACTTCTCTTGCTAAAACGAAATGCTGCATCGGGTGTTGAACTTGGGTGAGAGGAAAATCAGCCATGTTCCTTTTCTCAGGAAGGCAGTCAGAGGTGGAGATGGCTGGTGCTCACTTCAGAGTACAAAGCGAAATACAGGCGTGAAAGTCAGGCCCTCGGTGGAGAGTAGTCAGTCATCTGGCCAGTGAGGCTATTGCGTCTCGAACCCTCGAGGAAAGGATGTCTAGATGCCAAAGTTCCAAGGCAATCATGGCCTTAGAAACAATCATAGTCTTTGTCCTAGAATATATACTCCTAGGAATATAGCTCACATTATAGACAACCATTTATGTAAACAATGTTCATTACAGCATGACTTCTGGTGGCGATCTGGAAATGATGAGATATTGGAAGTGTTCCAACAACAGGAACATCATAAGGTTTATTACAAATGATATGTAGAGGATTAAAGGACGCGGGACAGGCTCAGCCCTCACCTTAAGAGTAATTCTGACAAAATAAGAATATAAGTAGAGAAATAACTGGAACAAATATAACAAATGCTAATAAGGATGTAATTATAATTTCTATCTTACCTATATTGCTTCTCATGTATATTCTATGTCTTATAATGATTGTGCTTCTCTTATGTTTAGAAAAAGCCAGCATAGTTGTTTTTTAACTTGGTCATATTGAAATCATATATCTCCACAGCAATGAGAAATGCTTTCTAAAACCATTGACAGAGTTCATGGGAACTTGTGTTCCAGTTTTCCTGTCAGTAACAAGTTACAATCAAAATCCGTTTACTTTCAAGGAAAGTCATGAAGGGCCAGGACATCTGATCAGTGGTCACATCAGGAAGCACCTACTGAATACTTAGCCTAGGTCTGGGACTTTTAAAGAAGTGCCTCATTCTAGCCCCAAAACTGCTAGACCCTGAGGTTACTAACTTGGGGAGTGTTGACAAGGACCCTCTCCTTGATAAAATGGTAGTCAGATTCCTCTAAGCCCTCCCCTCAACTATGCTTTGACCTTGGGCTTGAGTGTCCACCTTTGTTGGACCTGCGTTGCCCAGTTTTAACAGGAATCCTGTTTAGAGAGAACCCCTTCTGCTCCCTGGAAACCTGACCACTCTGGTGTGCCTTTAGCAGGAATCCTGTCAAGTTGCTTCAGCAAGAGCCCCTTGACTCGTGATGTCTCCTCTTAAAGATTTCTACCCACTGACGCCTGCAGCCTCCTCCTTGGTTGTGAAGCCCCACTTTCATTGTTGTCTTTGGAATTGAGCCCAGTCCTATACTGTCCTTTTTTTTCCTGATTATAGTCTGTTTTTACCACTTTAACCACTGTCCAGCTCTGGTCCTCTTTACCACTGTCCACAGTGCCTTCCTGAAAACTGATTTAAAAAGCAGATCATTTTAAAGACATTCTCATTTCCCCCATGCTTTAATTTGGGGTTATGTACTCAGTGAAACATCCAGCATCAAATAAATCAGAGCTTCATAGCAAAGACAGGACACCCTGCTCTACAATCATATAAATCACAAAATTACGTTTCAAGTCATAAAATAACAATGCTGGGAGGAGCTTTGGAGGTCATCTCTTTATTTTACAGAAAATGGTGTATACTTTGGTTAAAGCTACAGTTCTTTGGGGACAGAAATTGGAACCAGAACACAGGTATGCTGGCCACAGCCTTTGCCTCTTCCTCTACTTGCTCCTCTTCATAAGTGCAAAGACAAAATAAATAAATAAATAAATAAATAAATAAATAAAAGGTTGTTTTTAGTAATAAAGTTGTTTCGATGTAAGGATGAAGTAAGTCCTGTCAGGATATCATCGTCTCATCTGTTGTGGTTGATAATCAATTAGTGGCTCAGCTGCTGAGGGTCCCTGCTGGGGGCTTCTCCATAAGAACATGGGGAGAAACACCTATGCCATTAGCTTCTGTCTTGGCAAAGGGACTCCTCTTGGACAGTGGTGAATGCCACACACTGACCTAGCGAGGACCATCTGCCTGCCAACACCAGCGCTGTCATTCCCTAGAAACATGGCAGCAACACTCGACTTGCATTTCGGCACTGGCAGCTGGAGGTCAGTGGGCAGTTGGTGAAGCCTGCTCTCCTGAGTGCCTAGCATATGAGAAGATACACCTCATCTGAATTTGGACTTTCTCTCTTTCATCTCGCCTTGCCTAGAAAAACAATGCCATTAATCCATCACTGCTTTGGAGTATTTTCTTTCTTAATTGGTTCATTGAGAGATGTTATCCTGTGTGCTGCTGGCTTCTGAAATTCCTGCAGCAAACCTGTGTTGAATACATTGCTGGCAAAGACATGATCAACGTCTCTGGTCATAATTTGTCACCCAACACAAAACGGGCAGGTTTGAACTCTGCTGCCTTAAAAATCTGGCATCCCTTAGGACAGTGGTCGGCAAACTGTGGCTGGCGGAGCCATATGCAGCTCACGAGCCACGGTTTGCCGCTCTGTTGACTAATGAGTTAGCCAACCACTGCCTTAGGAGAAGAATTTATGTAGCAGTGTTTCTTGAGGGCCTATCTGGTGTGCTCTGCACTGGAAATGCAACATGAGCAAGACACCGCTTTTTGGAGAACCAGACCGATGGCCAGGTGAATGACACACAGATATGAGGAGGTTCTTTATGGGGCATGGAACAGACATGTAAATATCTGTGTTTTCGATGGTCTTAGGCGACCCTGCTAGTGGTTCTCAACCTGTGGGTCAAGATTATAGAGAACCACTGCTGTAGAGCCTAAGACCATTGGAAAACACAGATATTTACATTAGGATTCATAACAAAAGCAAAATTACAGCTATGAAGTAGCAACGAAAATAATTTTATGGTTGGGGGTCACCACAACATGAGGAACTGTATTAAAGGGTCGCAGCATTAGAAAGGCTGAGAACCACTGCTCTATCCGAAATATTTGTCAGTTGCTGAAGAATACATACAGAGATGTGTGTATATGTGTGTACGCAATACATAGAGTCACTCTAATGTAATGGATGTACTTACTGTACATAAAAATATATTTACACATACGCCCTGAACTTGATCTACACTTAGCATTCTCATTTGGACTTCTCTCCAAAAGGTTTACCATAAAGCGATGCTCTGTGCTGTTTATATGCTTTTCTTGGCAGGATTTCTTTGGACCTTAGGAGAATGTTAACAGAGTATCCAGATACACATATAAAAGTACTTACCGAGGAACATTTCAATAACAGATGCCTTCATAGTGAGGACAACAATCCCCATAAATCTCCCAGTGGCACCCTGGAGGGAAAGAAACAATAACACCATCACATCTCAGCCAAGAGTTCCGAGCTGGAGGCACTGGAGTGTGGGGCAAGGCTGTTCATGCTGCATTGCCCTCTGGAGTCTTAGGATTTAGCTGCAAGTTGCTATAAGAGCTCATGCAGATAGTTAGTGGCCAGTGCGCTGGTACCCAGAGAGTCTATTCTCACTGAGCAAACCGGTTCCAGCCTTCTGCCCTTCAGAGACCTGGTCTTTGCTTAGAACAAACGAGGAAACAACCTGACAATTTCAAGAGCAAGTTGCTAACCAGCAACAATATGGCCTTATGGTTATGTGTGGGGTTTTTTTTTCTTTCAGTATTTTTCTCTTAAATTTTTTATTGTGGTAAGACACACAAACATAAAAATTACTATTTTGCCGAAACCGGTTTGGATCAGTGGTAGAGTGTCGGTCTGCAGACTGAAAGGTCCCGGGTTCGATTTCGGTCAAGGGCATGTACGTTGGTTGCGGGCACATCCCCGGTAGCGGGTGTGCAAGAGGTAGTTGGTCGATGTTTCTCTTTCATCGATGTTTCTAGCTCTCAATCTCTCTCTCTTCCTCTCTGTAATGTCAATAAAATATATTTTTTTAAAAAATTTACTATCTTAACCATTGTTAAGTAAACTCATTCTTATTGTGCCATCATCACCTCATCCATCTCCAGAACTCTTCTTGTCTTCTAAAACTGAAGCCCTCTGCCATTAAAAGCTAACTCCCCATCCTCCTGCTCCCCCAGCCCTGGCCACCACCATCTGCTTTCTGTCTCTACCGTTTTAACTACTCTAAGTACCTCATATAAGTGCAACCATATATTATTTATCTTTTTGTGACTGGCCTGTTTCTAATAGTGTAATATTCTCAGGACTCGTCCACATTGTACTACACGTCAGAAGTTCCTTCCTTTTTAAGGCTGAATAATATTCCTCTGTGTGTATATATACCCCATTTTAAAATTTATTCCTCAGTTGATCATTCATCAGTCCATGGACACTCAAGCTCTGCTATGAACATGGGTGTGCATTGTTCTCTTTGAGTCCCTGTCCAGAATGGGATTGCTAGATCATATGGTGATTCTATTTTTAATTTTTTGAGGAAACGTCACATGTTTTCTAGAGTGGCGGTACAATTTTACAATCCTACTAACAATGCACGTGGGTTCCAAATCTCACATCCTCACTAAGCACTTGTTATTTTCTGTTTCCTTTGCTAATATTCATTCTAATGGGTATGAGGTGGCATCTCATTGTGGTTTTGATTTGCATTTCCCTAACGATTAGTGACATTGAACATCTTTTCATGTCCTTGTTGGCCATTGGTATTCTTTGGAGAAATGTCAGTTCAAGTACTTTGCCCAGTTTTTAATCAATTTGTTGTTGAATTTTAGTTATCTATACAATCTGGATAATAATCCCTTATCAGATATATGATCTGAAATATTCTCTCCCATTCTGTGTTGCTTTTTTACTCTGTTGCTAGGGTCTTTTGATACAAAACAATTTTTAATTTTTATGCAGTTCAATTCATCTATTTTTTATTGTCTATGCGTGTTATGTCTAAGAAGTTTTTGCCAAATCCAGTTGCTGTGAAGCTTTTGTCCTATGTTTTCTTCTAAGAATTTTATCATTTTTTGGTTTCATATTTAGATCTTTGATTCATTAGGGTTAATTTTTATATATCGTGTTGGGCAAGGGTCCAAAGCTATTCTTTTGCATATGGATATCCATTTGGCTCAGCACCATTTGTTGAAGCAACTGTCTTTGCACCTTGTCAAAAACTGCGTGGCCATGTACATGAGGGTTAGTTTTTGGACTTTACTCAATTCCATTTGTTTGTATGTGTGTCTCTATGCCAGTACCACACTGTTATGGTTACTGTAGCTTTGTAGTCAGTTATAAAAAAACAGGAACAGTCCTTCAGCTCTCCTCTTCTTCAAGAATGCTTTGGCTATTGCGGTCCTTTGAGATTCCATATAAATATTTGGATGGGTTTTTCTATTGCTTCAAAAAACATCATTGGGATTTTGATAGGTTTTACATTGAATTTGTAGACGGTTTTGGGTACTATTGATAGCTTAACAATGTTAAGTCTTCTAATTTGTAAACATGGGATATGTTCCCATTTATTTATGTATTTTTAGTTTCTTTGAGCAATGTTTTGTAGTTTTCATTGTACAAGAATTTTACCATCTTGGTTAGGTTAATTTTTAAGTATTTTTTTTATGTAAATGGAATTGTTTCTTAAATTTTTTTTTGAATTGTTCATTGTTAGTGTATAGAAAGGCAACTGAATTTTGTGTGTTAACTTGGTAATCTGCTACTTGGCTGAACTTATTTATTAGTTCTAATTGATGGAATATAACCTTGTTATGGGATCTTTAGGATTTTCCGCATATAAGATCATATGTTTGTAAACAGGATAATTTTAATTCTTCCTTTCCAGTTTGGTTGCCTTTTTCTTTTTCTTGCCTAATTTCTCTGGCTAGATCTTCCAGGACTCTGTTGAGTACTGATTCCATCTCCTTACTACTCATAGATCTATTTAGATTTTTTATTTCTTTATGAATTAGTTTTGGTAGGTTTGGTGTTTCTTGTTAATTTATCCAATTTGTTTCTGTAAAATTGTTCATAGTACTCTCTTTTAATTCAATTAATTCTTTTTAATCCAATAACAGTTATTGCTTCAGGGAAAGAGAACTGGGTAAGTGGTGATCAGAGATGGGACTGAGTTTCCAGTTTTGTTCTGTTTAAATCTTTACCCTGTGCATATATGTTAATAAATCAGAAATTAATAAGATGATCTCTTGGGAAGATTTACCATTTACAGATGATATTGATATCAAATAGAAGTCATAGTCATCTCCTAAGCCACTCCTTATTCCTTGCTTTATTTGCTGAAGGTCACCCTTCAGTTGGAAAGAATCAACTTCCTAAAGCTCAGGTCTGATTATGTATTCATCCTCTCAGAACTTTTTTTCTCAGTCCCCTCATTTTGTACAGAATAAAACCCAAATCCTTAGTGAGGCACTAAAGACTTTTCATAAAATGGTCTAACTTGCCTTTCAACCCATCTCACAGCAATTCTCTTCTATAATCCTCCCCTCTGACCCCCACACCCCAGGCTTTTGTGTTTTCTCTACCAACTGCAAATAGGGCTCATTCTCTTATTATTGTTCTGGCTGGAATACCTCACCTTACCACTCCTTACCTGCCTCCCATAACTATCTATCTTTCAAGGTTCAGCTTATAGACCACTTCTTCTATATAAACTTCTTGATCTCCTAAAGTCAAAATTCATCTTTAATCACACATCTATTTAATCCTTCAGAAAAACAACCTCTGTGCATACTCTGGGCAAGGTAGACGGGAGTAAGATGCAAGTCCTATCATCAAGTTGCCTTGAGTCTTTTAGAGGAGACTGATGCACTCATCATAACTAACATTAATTGGGCACATACTAAGTGCCAGTCATATATTAATATACAGTCTTCACAACAACCTGGTCAGGTAGGGGTTTCTCTTGCCTTAATTTTAGAGGTAAGGAACTGGAGACACACATAGGTGAAGTACTTTGCCCAAGGTTACCTACAAGACTGGAAAGAAGAGAAGCTGGAATTCAAATCAGGAATTCTGAGTCCAGAGGCCCTGCATTTGCATCCCACCACTTGCCATAGCTGTTTCATAATAAGCAAGACATTTCCCTCACCTACATTCTGATTTCATTGGTCTGAGTTGTTATCAATATTGCTTTCAAGCTCCTCAGTGACTTCACTGTGCAGTCAGATAAGAGCTTCTGCTGTAGAGGTTACAGTGATGGCAAAAAGTGTGGGTGGTCAGATAGGCCTGGGGTGTGGGGATTGGAAGAGACTTGTATTAATTTACCTAGCAAGTTGGAAAACAATGACTTGTGAAGAAGAGACAGGATGCAGGGGACAGAGCAACTTCAGGAGCTGGGAGCTGCTCGGCTAGGCTGAGAGAAGAATCAGCCTGGTAGAGAGCAAAGAAGGGGCCATGTAGGCCTTGAATGTCATTCCTGAAGAATGTGGAATTGGTCCTTTAGGCTGTAGGGAGACACTGGAGGCTTAAACATTATTTTTGCATTCATCATTTTTAATAAGCCCCTTAGAGGCTTACTTGAGCCACTCAGTTGCAGAAAATACGTCCTGGTGGATGTGTAGAATTTATATAACGCTGGTGTTTGCCTGATCTACGATGCTGCCTGGGAGCACCTAGCAATATTCTTTGTCCACGAGGCAGACAGATCCATCTGGAAGCATTTAATGTTTCTCAGAGGCTTGTGCTGTATTTCCAAAATGCCAGAACTCCCTCGAGGACAGCCATCTCTGAACGGGGAGTGGCCACATCTGCAGTCTTGCTTTCCTCATCCCCGCCTGATGCGAGGCCTCGGCTGCTTGTCTGTGGGCATGAGTCTATCTGGTGAAGATGGAACAAGGAAGGCTGGTACTCGGAGGGGCCTTTACAATGTGGAGATGGCCTCCATCTGCTGAGAAACTTTACACACACCACATTGCTCTGGGCTGGGACTGAAAAACCACATTTCCTGTTGCCATGACACCAGTGGTGGCTATTATAACCCCCCGGGATTCTATGACGAAGAGAGTGAGCTAGAGAGAGGACAGTGGTTGTTCTTTCCTTCCTTCCTTTTCTTCTCTTTCTAGTTCCTTCCTTCTTTTACCTTAAAGAAAGGCCAAGAGCAAAGTGCAAGCCAACTAGGCAGGAAGGCAAAGAAAATGTTGCCTCTTCTCAATATGTTGGTGCCTGAAGATGCACCAGGCTATGGATGGAAGGAAGATGTGCTCTGAGATCTCAGGCTTGAGCACACCAGCACAGGGCCTCCTTGTCCAAGGTAGATGTGCTCTGAGATCTCAGGCTTGAACCCGCCAGCACAGCTGGCGGGCTCAAGGTGGGCATATCTCAAGCTGTGTTCAAGGTGGGCATGTCTCG